TGTACATGTTGTTTCACTTTACCAGTGTTTGCATTTCGTTTCAGTTGCAGTATGAGAATACTTGAAAATGTACTTAAAAAAATTACACTCTGATGACAGCTGCAGAAATTGATGGTCTTCAAAAAAAAATGAAATACAGACCTTGGTAAAACAATGGATGTGGACAAGTCACTTACTGTATATTTCCTACATTTCAGGGAAAAAAATGTTTTAAAAAAAAAAAACCTAAAGGGGGCTAATTTTTCTCAACCTCATGTTCCTGTTTTCACTCACATCCTCCACTTGAATGGCACAGATCACCTTGAATGTGACACCAGCAGCCGAGATGGCTTGAAGAGCTACGGGCTTGTGTAACATGAACCCCCCAAACACCCCCTCCCCCACCACCCAGGTCATCTGGAGACCAGCAGAAGGATAAACTGCCATGGCTCCAGTTGAGCAGACAGCCGGCTAAAGAGTGAAATGAGCATCTTGGTCCTCAAGCACCTGAGCATAATAAATGATGCGATAAAGATATTTAATTTTCCTATTCCAGTCAATATCTCCCGTGTGGCTACATCATCAGATGACCAGTGGGTATGGAAGCATGTGTTTTACATGTGTACGCAATATACATATCAGAAACCGCAAGATTTCTGATAAATGGCAACTAAATATTCCAGTAAAGCATTTTACATATGACAGGTTATATAAAATAACCTATAAAAGATTTTCCAAACCACCAGGCAGAAAACATAAACTCTCAGTTGAACGTCAAAAAAACAAACAATCACTCCCTGTTCTTTGCATTAAATCAGATTTCTCCTTGAAATATTTATCTTGGGTAAAGTTTTTAAAAAATGCTTAACAATTCCATGATTAAAAACTGCATGGCTCTATGGGTCTCTCATGGTTGGCACAGTAATCAATGCACACGTGCCCTTAAGCAAGGCCCAAATTCTGCTGCATCGGTGCCAGCAAAATAGCTAACCCTACATTCTGACCCCAACCTTCTTGTACAAATGACAAATAAAGTATCATTCTTAGGAAATGGCCCCACAACTTTTTGAAGGGAAAATTACTCAATACAGAAAAGGAGTAAAAGTACAACAGAGGCAGATAGAGCTCTTCACCTAGAATCACAAATCCAAAAGTACAGCCCAGGCTCCAAATGGCTTGGTGAGCAGGTGGCTTCATTTAGCACAGCACCATAACTTCTTCTGGCTCCAGAAGACTGTCCCCACCCAACAAAGTTTGAATCATGACAAAACGCCTGCCGGCACACATGCATGCACCTACATGAAAGCTATGGAAAATATATGAAAGCATAGTAGAGTGGAGGGTTTCCAACTTCCTAATTCATCGCTGCTACGGCTGAGTGTAAAGAGAACTGTTCTAAATAGCTGACCGCAGTGCACACTGCTTACAAACTGTTAGCACAGTTGAATCAGGTGAGTGGCAATGTATCGAATCTCGATGGGTAGTAAATGTCCACAGATCACTTACATACTTCAGGCAGTAGCCTCCAAGATATAATTGGAAGGAATTATGGAATAATGGACATGGAAGAAAAATCATCTCATGAAAACATACATTTACGCTAACAGTGCCACATCCTGCTTGCTAAAATCAAATCCAGTGGTTCGGACGGCATCTCACCTTCTTATTCATACAGGAATGAGGCCTTCATACTTCTCCCCAGGAGAAGTAAGATCTACAACTCAAAAATGCATGCCAGGACACTGTTTATAGCATTCTCCTGTCCAAGTCTCTCAAAGCTTCAAAAGTTCCCGCAAACACATGCGTGACTTGGAGTGTCTGCACAAAACACTGCTGCAAGCAATCATGATTTCAAACGCGTTCACACATGCTGCCTGACATACGTGCTATCCAAACGAAACGTTATATTCCATAATAGGAATGGAGCATACTTGGTCTTAAGAAATGGCATGAATGATGACAAACCCTGGGCATTACCCTCACACTATATGCTGACGCTCAATCCATGACATCATGTCTGCCCATGTAAACAACCAAATAACAAAAACAGCACTGGAAAACCAACGGCAAGTGTCACACCAAAAACAAGAAATACATGTTTGTGTTTTTAGTCAACAGGGACATTGCGGTTTGCTTTGTTTAAGCTGTTGGACTGTGAAGTTTCAGCTGTACACTGTATCCATAAGGTATAAGAGTGATTGGCCTGTGGCCAAGGCTAACCTTTTTATTGGCAGTACGAAGATCACAGCTAGCTGAGCACACACTGTAACACAGTTGCCCCATAAGCAAACAAACACAGTACGAACAACGGCTCTAACCTTGGAGTGGTGGCACAATTAAATGGGGGCGTTTGCCACCCACCAACATCTGAGCTAAGTGTGACCATCAAAGACAGCGTTCTGGTGTAACCACATCAGTAATGATGCAGGGGACAGATGCTGACATAAGAAAGGTGAACAGTCATTTACAGTTTACATTCTTGGTTGTACATTCCACAACCTTGGTTAGGGACTATAAGAGCTGTTCAATAAAATAACAAAATTAGTTTACTTACTGGTAACAGTGATATAGAAATTTTGACTGATACCGCTAACAGATATATTTTTGTGCATTGTTGCTGATACTGATACCAATAACTGGCTAATCTCTAAGCCACATGCTAAGCGGGGGTGGTGTGTTGGCAGTGACACGTGGTGAACATTCCAGCACAAATTAGCAAAACGATGTTACATGTTTATCATTATTATTATTTTAGAGAAAGCAAAGATCAATATGAAAGACTGAATGAAGTATAAAGATGTTGGAGGATAGTGCTTTGAAACCTCTTCAAAGTAGTGAGCAAGCTGATGAAATTCTTCGTTCTTCACCAATGCAATCATCCCTGTTATTTTAGCAGTTGTGTCTTTAGCTCTGGTACTGCTGGCTTTGAATACTGATAAAGAGTAATTATCAGCCGGCAATATTGGGCAAGACTTACACATAAAAATGACAGCTATCGTGATTTTGAATGGATATCAGCCGATACTTGTACGTTAACCAAAATATCACGCATCTCTAACAGTACTGCTTAAAAATGCCCTCCACAAATCAAGATAGTCAAAGAAATAACCAATCACCCAGCACAAGTTGCAATACAGATGGTTTAACCGTTTTCCTTGCTACACTGTCTGTGTTCTCAGTGATACCTATTACTGTTGGGTGGTATGATCAAAAATTTGTGTCACCTCCCGTGACCCTGAATAGGATAAGCAGCTACGGAAAATGGATGATTTTTTTTTTTTTAAATAATGTTTTTATTAATTAATATAAAACCATTTACATTTATCCTGATAGTATAACTAACATGTTTTATTAGATTATTTTATTTTATTAGATATTCAGCTCAATAGTGACACGTTGTATTGATTGTAACGGCGTATGTAGCGTCATAAGAATTGCATCACTGACATGTTTTATTAGATTAATCATGTATATTTAGCTATATAGTAATATGTTATATTAATTATAACTGTTCATCAGTTATTATTACTGTATATTTAGCTTGGTAACAGCATGCTTGCTTAACTGCCATGATTTTAATAAGCATTACTGTGATAATTTGATAATATTGATTTTGCTTTACCGGTATGCATTTCATTGCAGACCTAATTATATTACATCTAGTACAAATTTTCAGGCACACACTGAAGCAGCAGTATAGTAGTATATCAAAAATTAATACAATAAGGGAAAATAAAACTAGCATACTGGATGAACCAGTATACTGGCCAGCACTAATACCCATAAATCCAGCAGAAGAAACAAAGCAAAACTGAGCATGATTCCAGAAAAGGATGACGACGGTTCAGTTCACTCAACCACCGCTCGTGGCAGTCCCAAGCGGAGCTGCAGGATTGACGCACGTTTCGGTGTTGCTCTGCAAGCATATCGCGGCCCCATCTGGCAATGAGACAGACGATGTGAACGGGGGCCATCACATCGAAACTAATGTGAATGAGCCCAGAATGAGGAGTGGCGAGGTTACGGGACACGTACCAACACTCATTTGTCACTCGACACTTGAGTCAAAACTGAGGTGTGAGTAAAAAGCAGCCGCAAATGACAAAGTTCTGCGGTCGGGACAATCATCGCTGTAACTCTGGATCTTCGTTAGGGTGCCAGTGCAACACGATGATATGCATTATGCGATTTGTCATAGTCTTAAAGTCTACGGCACAAAATTTTAAATGCTCATTTTCCCCAATAAAGTGCCATTTATTGCAATTTTACCTCAAATGTTTAAAATCCTATTAAAAGATAGATATTTTTATACTCAATGACCTTTATTACAATTTTCACATACTTTCCCAAATTATGCAAGCAGAGACTTACAGAAGGACATACCGTTGCGTATTGCTCCCAGAGTTACTAAACTATTTGCCCTCCATGCATTTGAAAAAAAGCAGACATTATAATTTCCGTCTTTCGGGGAGCTCATTCTGCATCCAAACACTAGCAGACTTGGGTAATTTAGGTCCGAAGAGTAAAAGTCCAGACCAAGATTTTGTTTCAACCGAGCAGTTGAGAGTCACAGTCACTCAACTGGTTGGTTGAAACAGAATCCCGGTCTGGACTTTTACTCTCCGGACCTGAATTACCCAACTCTGAACACTAGTGACAATACAAGATGGACAGGACATTCTTTTAAAACTGGTCTAACTCCATTTCCGTCACCACAACAAACTATGCCTGGGAAGGTGGTTGTCAAGTCGAACCCGGTGGGGTTCATGGCATAGCACTACTGAACAGAATACTCAACCTAAAATATCACACCTCAATCAACCACTTGCAATAATAAAGAAAATCATCATAATTTTCCCTGAAAAAAGCAAGAAAGCAATTAAAGTAATACATATGAAGGGAATATGTGGTCACACACCCAGTCTTCTAGTAACAGACGCCCTTTTCAGTAACTTTCAGACAAGCACAGAGAAGGAATGTGTGCTGCATTGCAGGTCTGGACTGCGGGTCTGCTGGCTTACCTGACTATGCGGCTGCATGTGCGCAGCCTCGGCCTCCGGAGACTCCCCCGTGGCCCCGGGGCCCCCATCAGCCTCGGCCGTGGCCCCGTCGTAGCTGCTCCGCCCCGGCTGCTCCGTGCCAGACTCATGCATCATGACTTCAGGACCTGAAACAAGCCCAGATGAGCCACGGGTGAAATAATTGCTGAATAACTGTTGAGACACCCTGGGCTCCTTTTAACCCCAGCCAACTGGTAAACGTGTCATTTCCGTCCACAAAGTTGTTTTTTTCTCTCTCTTATTGCAGGTTTTCCAGCCCTGCATTTCGCTGACTTCACAGCTCATCTTTGATAGCGCTTTGACTTGCTGGAAGGTGTGTGCTTAGTCTTTCTTTCCACGTGGTAATAAATTGTTTTATTTCCAGCTTGGTGACGGTCACATCTATACCGGGTCAAGGGGAGGTATCGGCTGGCCAGGCAACAAAAGCAGGGGAAATTACCGACCTCTGCGAGATGGCACTGAAATTAAATGCAGAAAAACAATACGATGAAATGTTTCAATATGATTTGTTTTGCAGTGGAAAAAGATACTCGTTCATTCTACTTGAAACTATTTACACATATGCGGGAAAAGACACACACACGTAGAGTATGCTCTTTTTAAAAACACTTAAAATACTGACATTTCTAAAATTCAGCCACACAAGCATCCTGGAAAGTCAACTGAAAACAAAAATAACACTGCAAGGAGAGCCTAGTGGTATGTTCTCAGTCTGAAAGGAGATAATCACCTTCTGTTTTTCTCAGGCTCATACTGCAGCCTTGTCAGGCCATTACTTCATGACCTTATAATATTCCACCCATTTCATTTACTGGACGCGGAATATCGGAAAGAGGACCAAGGGAAGATGGCTGGAAATAAACTATGGGGTAAGCTGAACCAAATCAAACCAAAACTCCCTCTGCCCCCATAATTACATTAAATAAGGAATAGAATATAATACGTAAAATCATAAAGTTATTTCTTTGTTGATTACACAGGTTCAGGTGAAGTGAAGTGAACTTCATCATCCTATCTACAAACAGGCGCAGTAGTATTACAGAGGCACAAAGACTACACACAATGGAATACTGCAGGTGTCCAGAGCTGAGAGAGACTCTCATTTCCACCATTACCTTGTTTAATATGAATTCCGAAAATTAATTTCCAGATGTATAAACAGCGAAGATCTACAGGTCGCATTGGGAAGTGAAAAAATATCATACATCTGATTTCAGCTAATCCTATTTCAGTGATTTCATACATCTGATTTCAGCTAATCGTATTTCAGTGATTAAATGCATCTGATTTCAGCTAATCCTATTTCAGTGATTTCATACACTACTGAAAGTATTTTAATAGTCCTTTAGAATAATCCCTCCTCTGAAGCTGCCTGTCTGCAAACCTTTTCAAAAACACCTCTATTACTATTAACTGAAAACAGGATTGCTAAAATTCCTCTGAAATCAGTAACTTAGAGCTCACATGGAAATTGTTTCTTCACCTTGTGGTTTGGATGCATCCTCAGCTGACTGAACAGGCTGTTAATATGTGTAATAATTTAATGGCCATAATAAGTTTTATGACTTCTTTGTTTCAGCTTATGCATCTATGCCTTTTATATATACAATAACACATAGAGAATCTAAGCATCTCAACCATACAACTAAAAGTTGTCCTTTAATTTATCTTCAGACAAAGATATTTACTTTAGCTGGATATTAAATACATTACTGTAGTCTGAACCTCACACAGTTTGTGATATGTATACAACTCAATGCAACCAGACCTTTTTGCAATTAGCTGTGTCCACGCATGTTAATGGAAGCATATAATTTTTATCACAGGGCTGAGAGGATCATGAAATTTTAGTCAACGATTAATTGTCGTACAAATAATTGTGATTAACGATTTGTCTTTTTCTGTTCATTTTATAATGCTATTACACAGTTCATCATAGTCATAGTTTAATATTACACATAGACCTTATGAAGAAATTAATACAGAATATTGGAACATATAAATAAAAATTGCATTTGCCTTTTAACCTTTGTAAACAAAAAATGTATTGGCCAGATACGACAAACTAAACAAACAAGAAGTTAAACAGTTAGTGTTGTCGCTACTTGATCCGATTCACCTGCCCGATTTTACCTCGCATGTCTGTACCACCTGATGTGCTCATCCTGCCATTTTACTGCAAATCATATAGTCTACATTTGCAGCAAACTAAGCCGGAATTAAGGTAGTCTGAGGGAAAATATATGTGAACAAAGATAAAATCCATTTAAACTGGGGTACCTTAAATCTGAGAAGTTAACTGGCAAGAAATCCTGCATTGTAAAGCATGTATAGACCACCTGGGATTAATGATTTCGTTGACTTAAAACAATCCATTTTCTCTGCTTGTCATTTGAAGTGTTCACTCCAGTAATCTATTTCCAGATTTTGGGTTAACACTTATTACCTAAATATCCCATATCTGAAATGTTAGTTTGTATTTTCATCAGTCAAAATTGCTGCTATCCAACAACATGGTATTTTGGTATACATATAGCTTTGGTTCACTCTAAACTGACATAAAATTTGGTGTATTTTGTGTTTGTTTCAGCCATATTTATATGCAGTGGCACACATAACTGGTACGCAAATGCATATTTATTTTATGTGCATTCACGCTGTCATGACAAGAAGTCAGTGCACATTTTAGCCTTTATACCATGAAAAAAGTACAAATTAGCCACATAAATGCACGGTAATTTCTTGTCATAACAGCGCAAATTCATGTAAAATATGTACGCATTTACGCTACAAGAAATAATCTGTTTGTATCACTCCAAAGCAGTCGGATCAGAAACAAATGGACAAAATAACATAAATTTCTCTTTCACTTTGCTGCAGCATAATAGTGGCAGCCGACAGGAACATATACAGTCATCTCACCAGAACGAGATGCAAAAACACAGTCAGACAGTGCAGACGCTATGCAGAACTTTTAATAAATACGGAACACAAAGAATCCAAAATCGGAATACGCGGCTGATACTCCGGGCTGGTGGAGATCACTCATAAGCTGCCCGTTATGAATCTGAAGTAGTGGAAAAACATACTAATGGGATCAGGCTGGGAGTGGTACAAATCAGGCACAGTGGTAAAAGGTGTCGTGAAGTGTAATGCACCGCATGCGCAGACATGCAAGGTACAAGTAAGGACAGGTGGTATGGATCAGTTCTGAATTGGAATGAGATGATGTCATTAAACAAGCGTGGGTCAAAATGAAATGGAAATAGTTATAGAAATATGACAATTCGGGCTATTTTTATACAGAAGAATGAAGACGATTATAATGATTATACAAAAAATTGCGGTCAGGCGATTATGTAATAATTGTGACAGGTCTTATCACAAGATAGCTTAAGTTAAAAACACACCCACACGCACGTGCGCGCACACACACACACACACACACACACACACACACACAGACTTGGTATCTATATCTTTGTAGGGACTCTCTATTCATTTCTATGAGCATAACCCTAATCCAAACTATGTCAACCTTAACCCCTATCCAGCCCTAACCATAACTAACAAACATAAGTAACAAAAAAAATACAAGTCTATAGGCTATTTTAGTTATTTGAATGCATTGTAAAATTGAGTTTCCTCTTGTGGGGACTAGAAAATTGTCCCCACAGGGTCAAAATAACAGGATTTCACTGTAGGGACATTTTGACCTCAATACATACACATGCCCCACCCCAACAGACACACACACTTTACATCTTACTAGGCCTGCAAATTTTTGTGCCTGTCTAGCTAAAAGAACAATATTCTGAAAAAATATTACACAGTGAACAAAATCATATGTAGGCTAATAATTCCATGTGTAAAGTAATGGCAGCAGGTAACACCAATTTATAATATTCTGAGATAGGGCTAACTGTTAGCTTGTCATAAATCACCACATCCATTAAAGAAATAAATACCACGTAGAAAAAAGAGGCACTTTCCTCTTACCTTCCGCACTGCACATTTCGCAACCATGGCTTTCCTAATGCCAAGAATCCTCAACCCTTATTTTTATACAAGAATTGAAATTGCATCAATGACTGGAAAAAAATTCAGTTCTTGCAAACAAAAGAAGACTCATTCTTTCCTCTTTATTACAGCACAATTTTTATCGATAGACAGGAGCTTTCACATTTTTCTGGTACGAGCACACAGTCCCTCTCAGCTGGAAAATGCACACCAGATATTTGCTTCAAACCGGACTGCTGCCATGGCTACAACAAACCGGTTTCACTTTAGTAAACAAACATGTTGTCTTCAAATGTCGTTTTAACGTTAACCAGGCGGAGCGCATGACAGACTGGAGGGTGACACTCAAAAACAGCGCTAATGTAAACATCAGTGGTGGGCGATACAGCCCAGGCCTGAAGGGGATGCAGGCTCACTCAAACAAGGAACAACTAAAATAAACACCCGGGAAAAGCTCAAGACAAACAGTTCCTGTGCTACACACAGCAAAAAGCTCAGGGCCTGTGTTATATTTCCTGGCGCATCACACAAACTTGCAACGGTGGAGAGTTCTGCCCTGAAGCACAATGTAAGGTAAACTACTCTGAAAAACTGAAGAAAGAAATACAGTTTGTAAATAGCGTTGATGACGCACCGATTTGGGATATAAGCCATTGGCTGGAACGAAATTCCTCAAAGGTTGGAACACCTAGCACACATCATAGAGGTTGAGTAGACAGCGTATTTGGTGGAAATATTTGTACCCTATTTCTGAAAGTATCAAATGAAGGTTCCACAGTTCTGAAGGCCTTGCCCTCCTGAGATCTACTGCATGTAGCCTGCAGGATATGCAGAACACCTCTCGGGCCCTGAAGCTAAGGATGTGATCCTGTAATAACCGACAGAGCTGTTTACTCAAGCTTATGTCCTGCTGGTGATACATGTACAAGAGGTATGATCACTATTTGATATCTTCAATCCACAACCACTCATCTATTACAGGATCAGAGTAATCAGGAGGCCTCGTGACAGGAGGCAGTAGGACACCGTGGAAGGGATGCCAGTGCATCACAGGGCACACAATCCCGCACATGAGCACCTATGGCAG